TATATATATATATATATATATATATATAGAGAGAGAGAGAGAGAGAGAGAGAGAGAGAGAGAGAGAGAATATAAAATAACAAAGAAGTGGAGTGACAGAAAAGATATTCAGCTGTTTTACTCTTTTCCAGAGGGATGATAATTTCATGATACACCTGAACCCAGTGCCAAATGTACAAACCAGTGCAGCGTCATGATCTGATGTTATTTCAATTGTCTAATTTACAAAGTATTTATTTATATTTTTCTCTGCTGTTGAAGCTCAGACTGTAAAGGGTAAATGAAGGATGAGACTTCAAGTCACACAGGGACTAAAGGGTCCAGGCCTGACCACACTGACAGTCTTTGGGATGCACTGGAGAAGACTTGTTGCAGCAGATTTGTTGATCTTTGCAACAAATTACTGCAAATTAAAGACTGAATGGTGATAAAAGCTGCACAGATGCTGAATTATGATAAATTCCCACTGGTGAGCTGTTAAACAAATGAAAAAGTTTAAACAGAATACAATAAATGAATGTCAAGAGGAAAGATATTCAGATATGTTCAGAGTCCTACATGACAGCGACAAAACCTTTTGGTTTATTTCACTCAGCAACACTTTGTCTCCTGTCCTAACCCAGTTCTTTGTTCTCGACGTGGTGATCAACTTCCGTCGACTCAATGAAAGAGACCTGCTGACTCAGCTGCAGAAGATTGTGAAGATGGCTGACAGTGAGGACGAGCGTCTCCCATCTGTAGGTCTCCTCACTTCAGACGGACGGACGGAGTGGGCCAAGGCTCGGAGTGTACTGATGAGAGGTGCTTTTTTAAATCATTTTCCCAAGAAAAATAGATAAATAAATAAATCCAACTTTGACTCGCGTGCCTTTTCCTGCAGAATCAACCAACAGGGACTCCCTGGACATGATCGAGCGCTGTCTGTGTCTGGTCTGTCTGGACGAAGCGAGCGGTTTTCTGCTAAGTGACACCACCTGTGCCACGATGATGCTGCACGGAGGTGGAGCGACCAAGAACGGAGGCAACCGTTGGTACGACAAGCCGATGCAGGTCTGTGACCACAACACGTCTCTGCAGTTCAAATAATTACTTATTATAGATCATTTAAAAATATTGGCTCCGGATGAAAGACATTTTGATTAATATTCGATAATTTACCTAATCTGTTCTTAAATGAACAAGAAAATTACTAGAGTGAACATCTTTATATTCTTTTGCATTTATTTAGCCAGTCTAAGGGACTATTCAAAGGATATCTGATTGCTGGACATCCCATCTTTAGTTTAATCTCTGTCATCAACATGTTCTGGGTAGACACATTTTTGATAAAACTTTCAGATAACCAATTAAAAGAAACCTAGAAAGCTGAAAAACTTATTTTTGTGAACAGTTTGTTCAGCTGGAAGTGCAAAAGAAATGCATATGCATGGTCAACTACCTAAGTTTGCAGGTTAACCTGTTTGATTGTGAAAATCCTACTAAAATCAGATTTATTTTCCAGTTTGTAATAGGAGCTGATGGCTGCTGTGGGGTCGTGTGTGAGCATTCACCTTTCGAAGGGATTGTTCTTGTGCAGTGCACAGAGTATCTCCTTAAATACATGTAAGAAAAGAAAGATGTTTGTTGACGTGCGGCAGGAATGAAATCCAAATAGGGCTTTTCTTGTCTCTGTTATGATCCCTTGCGACGTCAGGATTGGCAGCCCATCAAAGCTAGTCAGAGCTGCGAGTGTGAGCGAACTGCCTGCACCTCGAAGACTCCGCTGGAAATGCACTCCAGAGATCCTCAAACTCATCTCCGCCTCTGATGAGAAACTCGAGAGGTTGGTCAGTCTTCAATCTCTATGACTAAACAAATGTGTTCTGTACGCATGATGCAAACTTTTTCTTCACCAGACTGGTGAAAAATCTGGACATGTATGTCCACAAGTTCTACGACTACGGAAAAGAGTTCATCAAGAAGCAGAAAATGAGCCCAGACGCTTACATCCAGGTTGCACTGCAGTTGGCATTCTACCGGTAAGAAAACGATGAATCTGATTATTCTGCTGATCAGATTAACCCTGGCTTCATGACGTCTGTCTATTGATGTAGGTGTCATGGCAGACCAGTGTCGACCTACGAGAGCGCTTCTATACGTCGTTTCTGCCAAGGCCGAGTAGACAACATTCGCTCATCCACACCCGAAGCCTTGGCTTTTGTAAAAGCAATGACTGATGGGAAGCTCAGTTCAAGTGTAAGATGTTTTATTACTGATGCTACACTTGTGCTCTCACCAATAAACAAAGAGCACTGCAGAATCAATAAGGATGATGTACTGCGATTGAGCTTTCTTCTATATCAATACTAATTTTAGATCCGTTTGTGTTAATGTCCTAATTGTTCTAATAAAAAACCTCCAAACCACCTTATATTTATTGTCTCTGTGCAGGACACAGAGAAGATGGAGATGTTACACGGTGCCATAAATGCACAAACAGAATATACTATTCAGGTAAGTGTATTCTGACTGGAGGTATAAATACTGCCGTGCTTTCTTGCTGGATAAATTAAATGACATTTTACCTGCTCTTCAGGCAATCACAGGGATGGCAATAGACAATCACCTTCTGGGATTACGGGAAATCGCACGCGAACTTAAAACAGAGAAGCCAGAAATCTTCAAAGATGAGGCCTATCTGATCAGTAATCAGTTTATTCTCTCTACAAGTCAGGTAATTTTAAAACTTTTGGCTCCTGAAACTATCCAACCAGTTAACTGTCTATGTTCTGTAGGATTGCTTTAATGGTTCATTCATTTATGGGGTTGTTTTTTTTGGTGAAGTCAGTCATTGGAAGGCATCTTTTGAAACATCAGAATCCAAAATTCAATTTCCCCAAAAGATGATAAAATATATTATATTGTATTGCATCCACATTGTGCCTTATTTTATCAAAGATCCAAAAAACAATTGCTTTAGAAAAAAAAACTATTGTTCATTACAACACCTTGTGAATTTGTTGGTTTTACTCTGTGCCTATTACATGTATTAGCTGTTCAATTCTGCTTCTTGAAGGCTTTTGTATAATAAGCCTGCTGGGCAGCACGATGCATTAGTGGTTAGCACTGTTGCCACACAGCAAGAAGGTCCTGGGTTCAAACCCTGCTTTAGACCTGCAGTCTTTCTATGTGGCATTTGCATGTTCTCCTTGTGTTTGAGGGGTTTCTCTTGGTACTCCGGTTTCCTCCCACAGACCAAAAACATGCATGTGGCTGCCGTCAGGCCCAGGCCTCCTTTTCAAAAGAGATATGTGATGTCACTGGGATTTGCCTGGTTAAATAAAGGTTAATCCAAGCCTTCCTGTTTGGTTTGTTTTGTTCAAGTTTGGCTTCTTGTGCTTTTTGTTAATTTACTTCCTGTTTGCTTATCATGCAAGTTTTTGTCTGATTTCAGTTCACCTGTGTGTGAGTATATGTCATCATCTTCCTCAGTGTATATACTAGTACTGTAGGCTTCAGTCACTCATTTTCAGATCTCTGTCATTCCTCTTCCTGTCTATGTGTACTCATGATGTGCACATTATTCCAGTCTGTTTAAGTTTAGTTATTCTTGAAAATATTTTTATGTGGCCCGGTCCACCTGCTGCCACCTTGGCCTTCTTTTGGGGCCTTCTCGTACATTTCACCATTACTTCCCAACACGATTAATTCATAGTTAAACTGTCATTGGTGCAGAACTGAAGCTTTAACTTTTTCCTCAGGTTCCGACCACTGTGGAGATGTTCTGTTGTTATGGACCGGTGGTTCCAAATGGATACGGAGCGTGCTATAACCCTCAGTCAGATCACATAATCTTCTCAGTGTCCAGTTTCCACGAGAGCTCTCAGACAAGTTCGGCAGAATTTGTAAAGTGCTTGGTGCAGGGTCTCAAGGACATGAGAGATCTGTGCAATAAATGTAACTGTGGCTCTAAGTCAACCGAGCAAAGACACGGTTCGAAGCTGGAGATGCACACACAGATGAAAACACAACAGAGAGCAGCTGACTCCAGTAAGAGTCAGCAAACAATCCCGCAGGTTCTGGTGAAGAGTCCAGAACAAACCAACATGGACGCACAAACCCAGACCTCAACAAAAGGCAAGAACATTAAAGAATGGAATTAAATCAAAGACATCTGTCATTACCAAACATAATTGTTGTCATTTATTTTAAAATATGTATATTTGTGCTGCAATAGTATATATAAAAACACTAACTGCAATCAAAAAGTAGTGTGGAGGTATATTGTTATATGCCTTATTTTAAAAAATATATAGACTGAGATTTAACAATTTAAATACAAACATATGAATATATTTATTGAAGAAGTTTTAAAATTGTTGCCACAAAAAAGTAAAAAAATTCCCAGCAGGCGATGACTTTAAATTATTTCTATACATAGATGAGGAATAGAACTAATTGCATTATTTTATTTATTTATTTATTTGCACAAACTAGAGATGAATCAGCCAAAGAAAAGTTTATTTATCTCTAATTATGTTTAGGCAATGGTTTCTTTTGTTTGCATCATTTTGTACATGAAGTTCTTTAATCTGAGCAAAGACCTTATGTCTTACAGAACCCACCCTGTACACTTCCAGATCACTTGCTGCTACTTATTTATATTATTTAGTGACAATTGTAAAACTGCAGTATTCTATACACTTCCTGTATGTTGTAATAAATGTTCTACTTAGCAGTTTGAACTAAGCTACTGCTAAAGAAATAAATACTTCACCAGTTTATTAATACTGTGCTGTATTTATCATACTGGGACTCACACTGTGCTTGTGTACAATTGAAACTTGAATATAAGATTTAAAAAGAAGATTTAGTTTTTGATTTAAAGATGTTTCGCTGGTCAGATATGTGTATTTATGAATCTATATGAGCAGAATAAACAAAGTCACTTCTTTATTTTTGTATGATACTACCTAATGTTACAGATTTTATGTTTAAAAAAATACATGGAAGTAAAGTACAGACCAGAGGTGATTACTGTTTTAATTGTCAAAGTGCTGTAACTGTAAGATTTTGTTAAAGAATAAAAAATTGAAAACAAACAAAATGAAAGTATTTTACTGTTTTTAAATAAAATTTGTGTTTTTCATAAAGAAGGTGGTCTGTGGTTGTGTCAAGAAGAGCACTGGGTGTAAAAAACAATTGCCAAATCTTCTAGTGAGTTAACTCGCTATCCCTTAAGAAGGGAGGGAGCAGCAGAAAGAAAAAGAAAGAGCAAGAAACTTTGAGCTGAACAACCAATGGCTGCTTATGGTAACACTTTGCTACAAACCTTTTCAAATTTCATAACTCTGTGCCACATTTTGTGTTTACTCCCCCATCGAAGTTTTGATGAGAATCTTGTATTTTCTCAGTGTTTTATTTTATTTTGTCAGTGTTTTTTAAAGGAAATAAGGATTGTATGTGTGTGTGGGTGGGGCAGCACGGTGGCGCAACTGGTAGAGCTGCTGCCTCTCAGCGAGCAGGTCCTTGGTTCAAACCCCGGTCCAGGGGCCCCTCTGGGTGGAGTTTGCATGTTCTCTCCGTGCATGCGTGGGTTTTCTCCGGGTACTCCGGTTTCCTCCCACAGTCCAAAAACATGCATGTTAGGCTGATTGGTAACTCTAAATTGTCCCTAGGTGTGAGTGAGAGAGTGAATGGTTGTTTGTCTCGTTTGTCTCTATGTGGCCCTGTGATGGACTTGCGACCTGTCCAGGGTGTACCCCGCCCCTCGCACAGTGATTGCTGGACATGGGCACCAGCGACCCCCGTGACCCAAAATGGAATAAACGGGTAAAGAAAATGGATGGATGGATTATCTTAGTCTAAGAATCTGATATCAAATACAGCAGGTGATATTCATATGCATTCCTTAAAGGAAATCAAGACACTTAGTTTTAGCAGATTTAGCCTAATGTAGCACTTCAATGTTGCACTCGCTATAAATAATGTAATAACAGTTACTGTGTAAAGAAAATGGATGGATGGATGTGTGTGTGTGTGGGTTTTTTTTTTTTTTGGGGGGGGGGGGGAATTATTTTCCTTATGATAGAAATTTAAATGTACACAAAATCTAGGGGGAGAAAACATGACACCAATAAATTATTTCTTCTCACGAAGCATTAAGTTTTGACTCATGTTTTCATTTAATTAAATAAGACTATTTTTATTCATAAATAAAATACTGAGCCTTTCACCCAAAACTATAACATAAAGAAAAATTAGAAATTGTACTGTATATTTGTTTATCCATCCATTACCTTCCACTTATTCCGAAGTCAGGTCGCGGGGGCAGCAGCTTGAGCAGGGAGGCCCAGACATCTCTTTCCACAGCTACCTCTTCCAGCTCTTCTGGGAGGATGCCAAGGCGTTCAAAGGCCAACCAAGAGAAGCAGTCTCTCCAGCATGCCCTGGGTCTTTTCCAGGGTCTCCTCCCAGTTGGACATGCCTGAAGCACCTCCCTAGGGAGGCACCCAGGAAACATCCTTACCAGATGCTTGAACCACCTCATATGGCTCCGTTCGATGTAGAGGAGCAGCGGTTCTACTCCGAGTCTCTCTCAGATAACTGAACCTCTCACCCTATCTTTAGGGAGAGTCCAGCTACCCTGCAGAGGAAACTCATTTCAACTGCCTGTATTCATGATCACATTCTTTCAGTCACTACCCAGAGTTCAATGGCATAGGTGAGGGTAGGAACGTAGACTGACCGGTAAACAGAGAACTTTGCTTTACAGCTCAGCTCCCTCTTCACCACAATGGACCAGCACAGAGTCCACAATACTACAGATGCTGCACCAATCCGTCTGTCAATTTCACACGTCATTCTTCCCTCAGTTGTGAACAAAGCCCTAGAATACTTGAACTCCTCCACTTGAGATAGAATATCGCCCATGACCTGAAGAGAGAAATCCACCCTTTTCCAACTGAGGACCATGACCACAGATTTGGAGGAGATGATTCTCATTCCAGCCACTTCACACTCGGCTGTAAACTGCTCCAGTGAGAGCTGAAGATCACGGCACAATGATGCCAACTGGACCAAATAATCTGCTGATAGCAGTGAAGGAGTATTGAGGCCACCAAACCGGACTCTCTCTGCCCCCTGGCTGTACCTAGAAATTCTGTCCATAAAAGTTATGAATAGAATCTGTGACAATGGGCAGCCCTGGCGGAGTCCAACTCCCACCCTGAAGGGGTCAGACTTACTACCGGCAATACGAACCAAACTCTTGCACCGCTTGCATAGGGACAGAAAAGCCCGTAACAACGGGCCACCAACCCCATATTCATGGAGCACCCCCTACAGTGCACCTTGAAGAACATGGTTGAAAGCCTTCTCCAAGTCCACAGAACACATGTAGGTTGGTTGGGCAAACTTCCATGACCCCTCAAGGACCATAGTGTGGGTAAAGAGCTGACCCAGTGTTCAACAGCCAGGACAGAACCCGCATTGTTACAGTGGGAGTGGTGGCACAAAGGTTAGAGAAGGTGGACCTATGATGGAAAGATCGCCGGTTCAACTCCATGGACTGACAACATCAAACTGTGAGTGGAAATGGTGAAACACCCACACCTGCCGCCACCCTCATTTGCCCCACTCTGGGCACTTGAGCAAGGCCCTTAACCCCCACCATCTGCTCCCAAACAGGTCTCTCTTGAAAATGAGTCCTCGTGACTCATTGAGAATACCTGTATAAACAAAAGTTTTTAAAAAATGGTTCCTCTTGGATCTGAGGTTTGACCAACAATCTGACTCGCTTCTCCAGTAAATAGACCTTACCAGGGAGGCTAAGGAGAGTGATACCCCTATACTTGGAGCGCACCCTCCTGTCCCCATTTTTGAAAAGGGGAACCAACACCCCAGTCTGCCAATCCAGTGGCATTGCCCCCATTGTCTACACGATGTTGCAAAGGTATTTCAACCAAGACAGCCCACAACATCCAGAGCCATAAGGAAATCAGGGCAAATCTCATCCACCCTTAGAGCCCTGTCACCACAGAGCTTTTTCACTACCTCGGTGACCTCAGCCACAAATATGGACAGATAAACCCCAAAGTCCCACGACTTAGCTACCTCTATGGAAGATGTGCCAGTGGGATTGAAAAGGTCAGAGAAGTATTCCTTCCAACTCCCGATGACATCACTGGTTGAGGTCAACAGCGCCCCACCTTCACTGAACACAGAGTTAGAAAAGCACTGCTTTCCCCTCCTCAGCTGCCTGATGGTTTGCCAGAATCTCCTTGGAGCAGACCAAGAGACCCTATCCAAGGCCTCACTGAACTCCTCCCACATCCAAGTTTTTGCCTCAGCAACAGCCAAGGCTGCAGAATGTTTGGCCCTCCAGTACGCCTCAGTTATCTCCAGAGTCCCACCGGCCAACAGGGCCCGATAGGACTCCTTCTTCAGCTTGGCAGCCTCCCTCCACCACCGAGTTTGAGGATGGCCACCGTGAGAAGCACAGACAACCTTGCGGCCATAGCTCAAGGCCACTACCAACGCAGCTCCTCTCTTCACCCTAATGTCCAAAACAAATGGCCGCAAATTATATGACATGACTACAAAGTCAATCATCAGTCTACAACCTAGGGCAGCCTGGTGACAAGTGCACTTATGGGCACCCTTATGTTCAAACATGGTGTTTGTGATTGACAAACTATGACTAGCACAGAAGTCCAACTACAGCCTGTTCCTCCACCCAAAGGTGCAGGGAAGCCACCCTCTCATCTACCGGGGAAAATTACAACATACTGGCACCAAGCCAGAGGCCAAAGGTAGACCCACACCATCTTGGCGCCTCTGACCATGGGCAACTCTAGAGTGGAATAAGGTCCAGCCCTTCTCAAGGAGATTGGTTCCGGAGCCCATGCTAAGTGTCAAAGGTTAGTCAAACTATATCTAGTAGAGACCTCTCAACGTCACACACAAGCTCAGGCTCCTTCCCTGCTAGAGAGATTATGTTCCATGTCCTAAGAGCCAGCTTTGGTAAGCCAGGGTCAGAGTGCCACTGTCAGTCACTGCCCATGGTGTCATACACTTGACTTTTATGGCCTCTCCTGCAGGTGGTGAGCCTACAGGAAGGCAGACTCATGTTGCTGCTTTGGGCTGAACCCGATTGGGCCCC